GTACTCCAAATGAGGTCACGCCATTGATTTATACAGGGGCATTATGATACTGGCTTGTTTTCAGTTCCCTTCCTAATAATCCCCAACATAGTGTTGGCCTTTTTTATTGCAGTTGCACACTATCTAAACATTTTCATTCAGTTATCTACTATGATTCCAAGATCTCTCTCTTGGTCAGTCTCTGCCAGTTCGAACCCCATCAATGTGTATTTGTATTTAGGATTTTTGTCTCCAGTGTGCATCACTTTGCCACAATGAACCCCATTTGCAACGTTGATGCCCACTCGCCCATCCTTGGAGTGCCTCACAATCCTCCCTGGTTCTCACCACTCTGAACAACTTTGTGTCATCTGCAAATTTAGCCACTTCACTGCTTACTCCCAACTCCAAATCATTAATAAAAACCATTGGACCCAGTACTGATCCCTGTGGTACCCCACTGCTTACCACCCTCCACTCCCAGTTTGTTGGTTTCTTTTGGTTAAGTACATACTTGGGGAGTTCCCAAGCTAGCTAGAAATGTCTTCCTTGTGCTTGAACAAAGCTTGAGCCCAGTGGCCCCTTTAAGACCAACAAAATTTAATTGTGGGCATAAGGTTTCATCAGACTGTGCTTGGTTTGTTTTAGCTGCTTTCATGGATTGATATGCACCAAACACCAAAGGCTGAGAGCCTGCAGCGTATCACCCTGAAGGTGGGGTGGCAGTGAGTAAAAATAATTGATTCTTTCTCCCACCCACAGCAGTTATGCAAAGCAGCTCAATAGTCTTGTGCTCTTACCCTGTTGTCCTATAACGCTAATTACTGGGGTTTGGGGCTAGGTGAGTAGGAAACTGCTTACCTAATTACTGAACCTGAGCAGAATACGAAGAACAGTACATTTCCAATTTCTGCCTCATTATTCTGAATGGAAAAGTTAGGAGGAGAAGTGTATGGCCACCACCCTCTATTTTAAGCTGTTCCCCCCCCCCCTTTAACTGACACTCAGCTGCCTTGAAGGCAGTGGGAAAAGAGGAAGACCCAACAGGGGAGGGATTGGTTCAGTAAAGGAAGGCACAGCTTTCAGTTTGCAAGACCTGAGCAAGGCTGTTAATGATAGGATGTTTTGGAGGTCATTAATCCAGGGGGTTGCTTTGTCTGAAGTGAAATGACTTGATGGCACATAACACACAACTGCTTTCGGTCTTCTGTCTCTCCCGTAGAGCAGTGAGCAAGCTGTGTATTAAAGCTGCCAATCTCCAAGCGTGGATCTACCAGAATTACAAGGGGCAGAGATCAGTTCCTCTGGAGAAAATGGCTGCTTTGGAGGGTGGGCTCAATGCCATTTTAGCCCACTGTGCTCCCTCCCCAAACACCATCCTCCCCAGGCTCCACCCCCCCCAAATCTCCAGGAATTTCCCAAGCCAGAGTTGGCAGCCCTAGTGCATGTATGTTTAAGGGAATATAGATCCTTTTGATAAAGTACTTTTTCTGCATAGCTCAGAGATCCCTGGCATATGTCGAATCCCTACCATGCTTGTAGGTGGCCCCGGTTTCACTGCCCTGCTTACCTCTGGATTGAGCACCCATTGTAACAATCCCCCTGGCTGTTCTACATAACTACAGTTCGGCAACCACATGAATGTTCTTTTAGCAGCCATTTCTCACCGTCCCCATGAGTTTCCATAGCTTCAGAGAACAGTCTAAATAAAGGCATGTCCTGCAGTTCTACTGCTAAATCTAAGCAGGTCAGTCTCCCACTCAGGCAGCCCACAGTGACAAACTGGGAACCATATGGAAGCCACTGTGAGCTCTTTGGAGGGTAAGCAGAATCAGTGTAATAATTCATTTGTTAACCAAAAATATTCACATTTCTATAGCACAATCTAAAAGGCTAACCTACACATTATGCAGAAAATCCCCAACTGGTCTGCTGATTTCATACTTCTGCAGTACATCAACCATGAAAAGTTCAACATTTGACCAAAGTAGAGGTACCGCAGGAGCAACTACTTAACCTTTCCCTTACTGCTGGCAGTGCTTTCTTTAGTTACAAGACTTCAGTCCCACCCTTTCTCCAAGGAGCCTGAGTAGCAAATGATTCTCCCCTTCTGCAGTTTCTGTTCACAGGTTGATTGTGAAGAGCAAGGTAAATGGCCGAGTGCCATCCACTGCAATGCAGAATAGAGGTCCGAACCACCCCCGTCATAGCAGAATCCTGGCACCACACTGGGACTGTAAATTCCTACATGCACTCAGTCTCAAAAGAGGGAAAGGCACTGTATTTTTTCTATCCTGTGAGGCTCCCACGAGCTTAGGTGGAAGGAAATTTAAAATAGAACAATCAAGTCCTAGAAAGAATTAAGCATCACCCCACCACCACCCCAATACTACTGATCAAAGTCAGAGAATCTGTTTTTATTTTGAAGCCAGGAAATCCAATTAGAAGTGTACAAGTCGTGGACTTGTGGGCTAAATCTTTCTTCTTTCCCTTCCTTGAAAGCTCCTACTTCTTTCCCCCCTTTTCTGCCTCCTTATCACCTTCCCCTCCACCAAGTGACTTACCTTTATCACCTCCCTGTGTTCAGTTTTCCACCCTTCCCTCTACCCAAGAAAACCATGGCCCTTGTGTGGGGCCCAGCACCCAAGAAAAACCATGGCCCTTGTGTGGGGCCCAGCTGGGTGTCCCCCTTTGACTTGCCTTGCACAGGCTGAGCCAGACATCACCACCTCCCCCAACAGACTCAGCCCTTCTGTCAGACAGATGACTGGCCCAGGTGGGGGAGCAGGCCAGCCCAGTGAGAGGCAGGCCATCAGCCCACCACGAAGCATTCCGGAGTGCTCAATGGCCTTCCTCTAAAACATACAGTTTGAGTCTGCCTGCTGCAAAAATTGATCTTACTAAAATAGGTAACTTATGTGAAATTAAACAGTAGGTATTTGTGTAGGCACTATGGATAATCTGCCTGCGCCTGAGCTGACCCATTCAGACTCCAGTGTTGGATGCCCATCTGGCTGCTTACACCAGCCAGGCTCACCTGTTTAGAACAGAAGTCAATACATAAGCAAAAATCACAACCAACATGTATTTGAAGTAGGGGTGTGCAAAAAAAATAATAATTCAGCTGGATTTGGCCGAATCGGGCAGAATCAATTCCAGCCGTCAGAAAGACTCCCACATATCAATTTCGGCAGTACTAGTGGATTGGGGAGTCTTTTGGCCAGTCGAATGTCAGTTTCGGCCCCATTATATCCTATGGGCCATTGAAGTCAATGGCAAAAACATAGGGTATATTCTGGGGGTAGGATAGAGAACAATGGAGGGGATGGGGCAATCTGTTTGGGGGCCCGTAGAATTAGACCCCCTGGTCCAATGTTCTTGACACTTGGTGGGTATCTTGGGGAGAGGCTCCAGCAGCTACTCTGTGAGTTTGGATCCTATCCCTCAAACCCCCTCCCCTCCTGCCCCCAGAATATACCCTATGTTTTTGCCATTGATTTCAATGGCCCATAGGATATAACGGGGCCAAATTGCTGCCAAAATTCGGTGGCAAGCCGATTCAGATCAGAGAATCTGAATTGGCCCCGCAGCATCCTGAAAGGGGCCTGAATGGGCCATTTTCCAGGGTGCATTCGGTTCAGACAAACCAAATGCACATCCCTAATTTAAAGCCAGTGTGAGAAACACAGGGACCTAAAGTTACCACCAGTTTTACAGATAGTCAGCTTCCCATCACTCAGCTCCCACTTGGCTCATGTGTGACTGTTGGACAGCTCTTAAATAGTATCTGTCCACAAAAAGCTAGCACCATGTCATACTCAAAGATGAATTCTCACACACTCTAGAATAGTTCCCTTAATCCACTTCAGAAACGTTAAGTGATCTCGCTATCTTAACCTTCCTAAACATTTGGTATCAGGCATCTTCCTTCCCCACAGCACACAAATTCTATCGCTTTCTAAGCTGTACTAATGGACATCTGCATTCTGCCTCCAAATTCAGCCTCCAAACTCAGCTTCCTTCCCCCCCTTCTCCTCTTAAGTTTGTACAAGAACACCTTCAGCCTACCCCCCAACAGAAATGAAACTTGAGAAAATGACATACAAGGAAGTTTCAGGATAAATGTCTATACCAGCAAAACAATCTGCATCAGAATCAAACTGGACTCAATATGAAATACATTCCTTTAAAAACTGACTGAACTGGAATTAGTGACCCTAGCACCTCATAAGTAAAGCACTCCCCCCCTCCAGAAATGTTGAAATTTCTTGAAGTCCAGAAATTCCTCTGGAATAAGAACACTCCCTCGTTCAAAGTCAGAAATCAGCTGTGCATACCTGTGCTGGTCATACAGCAGTCCCTATCGTACCATTCAAAGTGCCAGTTGGTAACCAAAATACTAAACAAAACTTCTAGCATTTCTAAAACAATACACACCATTACCGTCTGGATAATACAGAACAATTCTGTGTTGTTAAGTAACAATTGTTCATAAATCAACAGAAGCAATGAAAGTTTCCGTTTGGGAAGAGTACAATCTAGTCAGTGATGCAACATAGCTGACTTACAGAGTAAGATCCCTAAAGCTGGCAGTGACTCCACTGTAAGTGCAACTGTAAGTTGTAATGTCAGGTATTGCTCCAACTACCTGAGTTTTACTGGGGGGGGGGGAGTGGAGTGACAGAACTAAGGGCAGTTTATCATATGACAGTTTTACACTGAACTAACAGCTTTGTAGAAAAACAATCATCACATATGAAACTGCACATTTCATTAGAAAATGCAAGGACTTTCCAACCCATGCATTCATGAAAACATATATGGATAAAATCTTTCTTTACATGGACTGTCTATGGAAGAATCGTGATGTATGTGAACTGATCCAAAAAGGAAGGATCAGAAAGTCTGTCAGTTGGAGAAATTACAGGTGTAAAATACTAGATACAAATTCTATTTGTTCAGCATGGGCTGAACAATCATCAAGAAGAGGTTGACAGTACTCAGAGCTCTGATTTTGAGTGTTTATTCATAGAGGTTCAAGGGGTACATTTGAAGAAGTGAATCATATGGTCAGAAAATGCAGGACAAAACATACTTTATTGTACTGCAACACCAAAATACATGTAGAGTACATCAACGACTGTGCCAATGAGAAGTTGCCAGGTTAGTGAAATACTCCGTATAACAGAATGCTGATCTACTAAAAGTTTACTCATCTGAGGCACAAGCACACTATTATTCAAGCATCCTGATTCAACTCAGCCCCAAGACACAAATCTACATGTTTTCCTTCTAAGTTGCATATTAAAGCTACTTAAAGTTCAAGCTAACACGGCTGCCCAAACTGCAACTCAAATGAACAAAATAAACCAAACACAACCCTATCTGAGGAGTGTGAATGGCATAACCACAGCTCCCCCCCTTCTAGGTTGCAAGTCACATCTGGGGAGGGGTGGCTTGTGGGACAGCATCCTAAAGGCACTTGCACAGACAGACTACCCTACTCTAAGCTTACGCAAGTGCAGTTAGGACTGTAGTTATGACCATTATTTTTCAAGGTAAACTGATGCCCTGTTTGCATTCCTTGTTCATTCGCAGGAATTTAATACTATCAGATCTTTAAGAATCCATTTTAGTAAGGCAAACACCTTGCCTAAAAATACCTAGCAATTACAAGAAAAGTACAACATTGTGATTAATCCTCTAGAATACAGGTCTTAGGTTCCCAAAAATGATCACAGTAACAACTTGGCAGGACATACTGGTAGCAATGTTTGGGCATCGCTGATTAAAGAGAGTCTACAGAAGGTTTGCTCAGAAGAGCAAGATTTCAACACAAGTAACTGCTACAGGAAGCACCAGGTCAGCTACTTGGCAGATAAGCTTGTTGTGCTGGTGAAAACAGTAAAGGCGCAGCACCACAATGGTAAGATGCAACTAAGAGCTCTGACATCAGAAGCAGCACTTGAGGACAAGTTGTTAGCCATTTAAACAGATGCAGATTTGATGCCTGGCTGTATGCATGTCTGCACATGCTGGCATGCCCTTCTTTCTTATGGCCCACATTTTTTAAAATGCAAAGCGAAAGGTTACAGGAAAAAAGCTGTAAGATTAAGTAGAAAAATTGAAACTCTTTTAGAGGTCAGCCAAGAGGGGGGGGAAATGAAAAAAATGCTTCAGCAAGAGTTAACTGTTCTTCCTCCATCACTACCAACATAAAGCAACACAAGACTTAACAGTCACTTACTTATATTATTGTGTAAGTTACAACTGGAAAATGGAGCGAGAGAAGCATTTTGCCCTGTTTTTTTTTTTTTTTTAAAAAAGAAATCAACACTAATCAAATGGTTGAAAAGATGTTTAAATGAGGAATGACAACTTATTTGGGTAACAAAAAATGAGACAGACAAGCACAAGCTCTGTACTACCAACAAACCCCACCAAGAATATGAATCAACGGCCAGCACAAACTGGACTAAACACTGGACCTTTAGCATTCATCACAAAATCAGATCTCTTCTTAAACCAGCAGATCGGGTGAAAAGTCTTGCTAAAAACAAATTAAAATTAAAGACAAACACAAAATAACTTAAAAAGGTATTGCTAGACTAAAAACTTCCTTCTGATGAAACAGGGTTTTTGCAAACTAAAATCCCACTGATTTCTCTTCTAAATTCACTTAACTTTCAGATGGTTCCTAACTGCGAAGGCTCACATATCTGAGACTGCAAGAGAGAAAACAAAGTTACAGCATCCATAGTACATTCTCTTTATACTCCTGAAGAGAAAGGGGGCAAAAAAGAAGAAGAGAAAAGAAATGGAACATTCCATCTGAAATTCTCTCACAATCTTTCCCACTCTGTAGTTTACGAATCCAACGCTGATGCTAAGGTGACAGTGTATGTAAGTAGATTTTTTTGTTGATTTTTCTCTTTTTTAAAGTTTTAACAGAGAAAGCCTGAAGACAAGGACGTATCCATTCAGGAGTTATCGGATGGAACATGCTCCTCGAACCCTTCACTCTCTCGGACCAAAGCTCTTTCCAAGATAACACGCCCTTCCTTATAGCGCTGGCTGTCTTCAGTGGCAAATTCATAGATCCAGCCTAGCTTGCTGTTGCAGTTCTTGCAGCTCACATCGCGAACCATGTGGCGGCCAGTGAGCATCACCCGGTCCTGCACTTCACTGTACTGCAAGTTTACCACCTGTGAAAGACAAAAGGAAAAATATGAGGCCGTCAGAGGTCTGATGTTTACCATCAGTAGACAACTGTAGTATATTTTATATCAACACTGATTTTCAATTGTGACACCACCAGCATTTGTCTTATTACTTGCTTAGGTTTTTAAAAGGAGACAGAGAGTAGGTGATAAGATGCAAAGGAGGACAGAGTTCCTGCACCTTTTAAAAATTACTTAAGTGACATACAAGGACCACTTCCTATGTAACAATCTTTAAATGATATAATTTCCAAACAGAAAGAACATGATTCACCATTGCTCTCAGCACATGCAAATACAGTGAAACAGAAACATGCAAGCTCAGTTTTCCTATGAAAGCAGTACAGGTACAAAAAAACTTGTTCTATGTACAGCAGCCCTTAGCTGCCAGATGAAGATAGCACTGCCATTTTAAGATACTTCAAGCTTTCAAGTTCCATTTTAGGGTACACACACTGTAGAACCCACAGGGTACCATTTTTGATCTGAGTACCAATGCACTCCAGAAGAACGTTTAGCAATACTTTTCTTGAGCCCCCACTAACCTTGTTAAAAAGGAAGGCTCTTCCTGTAGCTCCTGTGAAACGGGTAGATATGAGCTCTGAGCGGTTAGTCAAGATTGTGTCACAATTGGCACAGGAAAACAGGCGAGTGCCACCGATATGATCCAAGAAAATCCGACCCATTGTCAAAGTCTGCTTGAGCACTGAAAGTAGATAGAGATTAGATCAGTCTTGAAATTCATGTAATAAAAACCTTTTTCCAGAAGCTGGAGCAGTATAAAACAAAGAAACATTTCCTTGGAGATTTTCTGGAAGAACTGAATAAGCATCCAGTATTTCGCCTCAGGTAGGGGGCTAAACTCACCATACTATCCTGAACAATTCTGAACACTGTCACTGGGACACTAGCTGTTTGAAATCAATACTATACATAAAAGACTGATGCTATAAAAGAAATACATGAAGTTTAGACACTGGGGTTCTAGACAAATAAGCATCTCCCATGTGTATCAAAGCCTCAGAAAAGATAGCAGCTGGGACAGTAGTAGCAAAACAATTCAGTGGCGGGGGTGTAGAGCTGGTAGCACTGTGTGATACTTAATGTAAAATCACACCAGGCTAGACTAATGTGATTCCCCCCCCTCCTTTTAATGGATGGGAGGAGCAGGGTACTTTCCCATTAGAGAAGACTATAAATGTGCAAGATTCACATTCTAAATATGTTGAACTGCTTGCTTCACAAACTAACCCCCATGAAGCAGAAAAATAAGGCAAAATAGGAGTTTAAATAGTATGTGGGAAAGCCTTTATAACTTTGTAATACAGACTATAGGGGGGTTATTTGGGGATTTTATTGTATATTTTAAATTTGCGTTTCCAAGCCACCTTGAGCTGGAAGGAAAACTGGGATATGTTTTAATAAATGAACACTGAACTCCTTAATGATGTATTATCAAACACACTATATATTAACTGCTGCCAAAAACAAATAATCTAAAAGAAAACCCTTGAAAATACGCTGTACATAGTATGTATACAAGTCATCATTATCTAATGCTGCAGACTGCCATACACAAAACATTTTCATGCTATGTATTCTGAGTACATTCTTGTCTTTAAAAACATTTTACTCATTCCAAAGGAGGGGGATTCACTGGAGTATTTGTCAAAGCTTTGCAAATTTCCCAATATTTACATTAAAAAAGAGTCCTTGGAAAAAAAATACCAGTCCCCACCCCTCAAAATTTTTCAGATTCCCCTCCAGGCCTTGTGTCAGAGACCAGTTATTAAGGAAAGCTTTTGTATCACCATTCTAAACAATGAAAGATGACACTGGTCCACTATGTATGAAAGCAAGTACATATGATAAACACATTAGTAAATACCAGAAATCCATAGCCTGACTTGTTATGGTGAAATATCCAACACTGCTGCTGGCTACATTTGGAACCCATGAGCATGAGGCTAGTTGAACAATACTTTAAAATAAACAAACCATCAACATCTACCCTGCAGAAATGTATCAGCCGGGGGGGGGGGGGGGGATCCAAGTTGCATTGCAACGTTTCTTGTGTTTTATGCTGTCACTTTGGTCTTTAAATAGGCTATGTATAAAAATTATGCAGACAACCTATTATTACGCTGAACTACTTGAACACAACAATTTTAGTATTAATGTTGGGAAGTACATTTAGATATTCAAAGCTTAAGTCAATTCTCAGGACAACCAATCATTTTTGTACTCTTCCATTTATACATATGTTGCTTTCCTTAAATTGAAGCAGTCTTTTAGAATAAACAGCATGTACTTTGAACATGTAGTTATTGGTTGTGGTGCCATCAGTCGTTCTAACCTATCATTCTTTTTTCTTTGTGAGCTCCAGGTAATTCCTGCCACGTCATTTTAATTTTTTTTAAGACAGAACAGACTGTGCAATTATAGCATTCAAGGACAGGCTTGTTCAGGCATCTTTCATGTGCTGATGTTTATATTATATCCTAACGGTTCCTTCTGGACAAACTGATGACAATGCAACAAAACAGGAACATTTTGGATACATAACCACTTACCTGGATTAAGAAGCAAGGTCAGAGTAGACAGAAAAAGGGTGAGAAATACATTAAGCTAGATGCGAATTCCTTAAGACTTAAAATTTACAGAAAAATTAGCTGAAGAGTTATTTTCAGCTTGGTGTAATTAAAAAGGTTAGTCCTAAACAGTGTAGTCTTGATTTAAGATTATACACAGCAAATCTGAATCATTTCCTCAAGTACTTATCTGTGAAGCCAGGCATTATCTGCAAAGAGTGCCCCTTAACCCTGCTCAGAGGCTTCTCTTTGCACATAATGTGGCAGTCCTCCTTACTAATGCCTCCCTCACTCGTAAGGGTGGATAGATTTCAAATAGGGGTTGTTGTTTTTTCTGGAAGCAGGATGAGGATCATGAAGTTCAGCACCTTAACCACAAAGCAAAACTATCGTTCAAACTATGGTAACTATTTTCTTCAGCAGTATAGCACGTACTTTGCATACAGAAGGTGTCAGCTAAATTCCTAGCACCTCAAGAAGACAGGGTGGATAAAAATCATTTTTTAATTTTAAATATAATTATTCTCTTAAATTTAGCTTGGTTTGCAATGAAATCTGAACTTAATGCAAAGAATCCTTTAATTTATTGCAAAAAATGGTTTTCTTTGTGGGGAAAACGTTGTTAGTCATCATACAGCACAATACTTATCATGGCTTGAAACTACAGACAAAGATTTGCAAATCACCATGGGGGTCCCTCACTGATCAATCTCAATCAGAGGTCCCAAACCTGTCAAGCCTGTGGCTACATCTGGGAACCAGACTAAAATGGCTGCTATGGAAGGGAAGCAAACACAAAAGTGCTGGGAGGTTCCAAGCCAAGCATTCTTTTATGATGAAGAGAGCTGTTTCTGAAGAAGTGCTCCCTCAAATAGAAAGGTGATGGATCCTGGGCTCTTCTGAAGCATCTCCTGTCCTAGTGAGATGGAAGAAGGCCAGAACTATTTGCTTTGGGAAAGAATGATGTGGGAATCAGGAATTACACTGGTAAGCACCACGACACCTGCAAGTTTCCATATTTATTTTACTTTAATTTGTTTACAATTGTTTACAGATTAACTCTGTCTTTTTGCCCTTCTCAGAGCCATCAAGGTGGCTAACAGATAAAAAAGTCTTAAGACCAAATAAAATAATAAAACAACTAAAACCAAGTTAAGATAAACATTCAGTACAATAAAACACGCCAGAAAACTTGGAACTGCTGCTGTTGTAAGCTGCAGCAGGCATTACTAGGATGGATAGACTACTGGCCTGATGCTGTAAAGCAGTTTATCATGTTGTTGAGAAGAGATGCAACAGAAATTGGGCAGGAGTCATCACCAGCACAGTGCAGGTGCTGATGTACTTACAGAAGCCCAAGTAATTCCAAGATATTCCTTTTAGTCCAGACAATGCTAAAACACTTGGCCACTAAATGTCCTGGATTGCCTCCAACCTTGCTTACATCGGTAATTTGGGGGGCAAGTTAGAAAAAGAAAACAATGATCCCCTATTAGGACCTTCTATGGTTTCTCAAAAGCCAAAGAGAGAGCAGAAAGGAACTTGGATCAGAAATGTGCCACTGTCCTGATCTCAATTCCTGCAGGACAAACTAAGCACCTATAGTTGTCTGTCAAGCAAAACCACACACAGGAATTTCTAATCACACATCTCTCACTATCATATGTCTACTTGGAACCTGAAATGGCCTCTTAGCCCCATAGCATTTGAATATTAAGAATAGGAAGGGCAATTTTAAAGACAGAAAATTTCAATTGGTTAAAATGGAACCTTGGATACTTACTGTGAGGGCTCCTTCTGCTCTGAGGTTAGGAAGGCATCTTGTAATGGGAGATTCCCACCAATTGCTCAGCAAGGCAGGAACAATTTCTTCAACTTCCTGTCTCCTGAGAGGGACTCACCCAGTTTTGGTTTGGTTAGTTCACAAGCTAAGAAACCCCAAAACAGGAAGGAACAGAACCGGGAAGAAATACCATCCAAAGCAGGTAAGTCATGGTTAAAAGCAAACATGTAATAACCAAAGGAGTAAAAAGGGGTGGGGGCAAGGGACGGTTAGAGTGAGTGTTCTCCCACTGCAACTGGAGCACATAGGTTTGACCAGACTAATACACTCTTCGTAAAAGTTCCTCTTTTCTCTCTCTCTCCCCCCTTTTTGGGGGTGTGTGTGTGCAAGATGTCCTCCTAACCTCAGAGTAGAAAGAACCCTCATGTAAGTATCCAAGGTTCTGTTCTTGCTCTAAGGAGGAGGGCATCTTGGAATGGGAATTCCAACAGCACTGTCACAAGTGATGGGTGAGAATTAATTACTTCACCCACATGCTTAACAAAGTAGTGCCTAACAAAGGTAGAGAGAGACTGAAGACAACATGACCACCTTGCATATTTTTTCTACTGAGGCCTGAAGGTAGAAAGCTGCATTAGTGGCTGTGATCCCTGCTGGAACCAAGATGTTACCTGCCTTGTAGACATGGGTGATGCACTGGCAAATGGTGTAGCTGACAGCCAATCTGGACATCATCTTTCCTTTATTAGGGGCTGTTAAAGAAATGAAAAGAGAGTATCTTCCTGATGGACTCAGTACACCAGAGATAGATTCTGAGGGCTCTCCAGAGGTCTAAGGAGTGCCACTCTCTCTCCTTGGGGTGGCTGGAATGCAGACAAAAGGATGGGAGATGAATCTCTTGACTCCTGTGAAGGGCTGAATTCACCATGGGATCCAGCCTGAGCACCACCTTGTCCTTATGGAAGACACATAGGTCCGTTCTGACTGACAATGCTCCCAGTTTCAACACTCTTCTAGCTGAAGTCACCACTGCGGTATGCAACCATTTAATGGAAACCTCCCTCAAGGGCTTGAGGGCTTAGTGAGAACCAAAAGGACTATATGCAGTTTCCATGAAGGGAGCCTGTGAACTATAGGAGAGTTGTTCTGTGTGACCCCTTTGAGGAAGTGGACAATATGAGAATGTCTGCATATAGGGAAGTGAGTTACATATGGCAGGATCATGGCTACCGGGTGATGAAGGGTGGGCACTTTCAGTTTTTGACAGACATCCTTTTGAAGAAAGGCGAACAGATGTCCCAGGCCAGGGCTGAGGAGACTGACATGCTGCAC